TAGTAGATAGAGTGATTCAATAGGAAGGTTTATATGTATAATACATTGCACCCGTGCGAAGCCGAGGAGGGTCGCTAGTACATTAGTATATCGTATTAAATTGCGTATACGAACGTAGTCAGAGAACGTATTTCATATAATAAGAATCATTACAATCGGATCGGTGTTCCCAGAGTTATAAGGTGAAAAACAAATACTGAGAGGAGTTTTGATTTAAAATTTTGTACGTGTAAAGTGTTTTTACAGTACAGGGTTATTATATCGTGTGCAGAATGTGATGGATGGGGGGATATCGACGGGGATGAAATATTTACAATTTGTTGTTCGCGTAAATACAAGAAATCAACTTAATAATCTGGGTTTTCTACTAGTAAAATTTTTATTCAGGCTAATCAAATGTTAATAATAAATACATATCACGTGAAAAAAAAATATTTATATACTCCCAGAATGAACTTAAATAATTCAATATACGACGCAGCACTGTGGGTCCACCGTAAGTTAATCCGTGATATTAATATTGTACGTTACGTAAGTACGCTCCCTTCCGACCTAGTTTCTTTCGAAGTTAAAATAAACTGACATAAGTATTACGCAGAAAGTAATAAACTTGAATATAATATAGTTTATGACTACTCCAATATGAGCAATTAGAACAAAATGTTAATAGCGGAAGCGGAGGTTTTTTTTAACCCTTTCTCCCTCATATATTATTATTTTATATTATTATTATTATCAACTATTTTATATAATATTATTATTATCCCTTATATAATATTGCTAATCAATCGCCTAAGGTTTGTATCGAATCAGGGATTCTCGCTGCCATATTAGAGCTAATAAAAAGTTACTGGCGCACTTTACATGTTTACTCCACTCCAGAACAAGACCAACAATACTCGCAGATATATAACAAGTCACAATTCACAGTTTTAATTAATCTTCACTATTACGTTATGTTCGGAATACAAACGACTAAACGTATTTAAACGCCTATGTTGTAGAAAGATACAGCCAACGCAATCAAGGTTACCAAAACTGACATTTGGTGAGTCTTGACGCCGTTCACTTGGCACAAACGTTAGATTGAGAACATTCCACTTAAGAAATCAGTATGACAGAAAACTCACTGGCCGGCGGATACTGGAAAACGCCCTGTATTTAAATCTACGTCCGTACGCACCGACTAAAGACCGTAGAGCCGTGATAGCTCAGTGTCCGGGAGCTCGCTTTTAATTCAATATAATCGAGCAACCCGAGTTCAAATCCCGGTGCCGGCACCAATGAAATTGTTAATTTTAAGTGATGATTTATTTATCACTAGCTCAGCGGTGAAGGAATCACCGTGAGGAAACCTTGATATTTTCGAAATAATAACGAAAAAATATTATTTCGAAGATATGTGAAGTCCGCCAATCCGCAGTGGGGCCGCATGGTGGACTATGTCCTGATACCCTCTGTACAGACGAGGCCTTTGTCCAGCAGTGGGGCGTGTATAGGCCGTTACGTTACTTCACTTTTAACGAATTGACCTATAGAATGCAATATTATGCGTTAACAGCTCGCTTATTCTGTCTACTATGTGCTAGATAAAGGGCGTGGTAGGAACTGAAATATTCAAATATTCCCTTCATCGATTTCCCGTTGTGTTGTATAGCTCTATGGAACAACTCCGCTTCGCTCGTTTCTAATAAAACGTTCAGGTCTCATTATGTATTCGAAACTTTGCTCGAACTGTGTTCAGCGATCGGGTTTTAAAATGAATAGTCTGTTATAACTTTGTTCCTCCTCGTCGTTACAAAGTACTTCGTTCGGTTTAATTTTAATGATCAAATCAGACTTTAATTGTACTATATGATGACGACCCGAATGGCGTAGTCGGTAGTGTACCTGCCTTCTGCGCCAGAGGGTGTGGGTTCGTTCCCCACTACTGGAAAAATATTGTGTGATGAGCATAGTGTTTTTCTAGTGTCTGGGTGTTTATATATGTATAATGTGTATTTTTTTACAAAAGAAAAGTATGTTTAAGTATGTCTATCAGTTTTCTAGTACCCATAGTACAAGCACTGCTTAGTTTGGGACTAGAGAATGTTGTGTAAAAACAATGTGTCCTAAAAATATTTATATGTTTATTTATTTATATGACATAGATTTTTGCATTGGTCCATTACAGTTGACGCCATTTTGGTGACTTAAAGTTGCGCCAAGGAATTATTGCGGTTCTATTTTGGCTATAGACCTTAAACGTGGTTTTCCCAACCAACATAATAAAATGGATTTCTCAGAAACAGCTTAATAGATTTGGATACCTTTTTCTCTCTTGGGGAACACACGAGTGGCCCCAAATCACACTAATTATTATAAACACAACAATTCTAAGCGTAGGTGTTTTCGTCCCCTCTTCGCGCCGCATACTTTAAAAGAATATGAAATAAATTTGGAGCACAGAAGAAATAGTATAAGATTAAGGGGTAACAAACTATTTGTACCGTAAAAGTATCGTAATTATTTTATTTTTAAAAAGGCCACTTAATTGAGGCTACAGATATAACCTAGTACTATTATTATATTATAAATGTTTGTATCGCGAGACATATATTTATTTCGTTGCGTGGAAGTTTGTCAACAATCATCTCTGGGTCACACAAATACATGTCCCGTGTGGGAATTGAACCTAAGACACGCGATGCCGAAGCTTAGCAACTGCGCCACCGAGCAATAATCGTTATATCATGTTCAACAATTCAATCCATCGTGCATTCTAAGTCTCTAATATTGTCTTGCCGCCCTAAGTCGTAAAAAAATTCAGGATGTATCGATAATGTGCTTTGTCATTTGCTCCATTAAGTTTCGACTCAATCACATACCTCCGGTATAACTTGTTGACCAAAAAAATTGTTTCCCCTTCGTTATATGCGTAACAAATCAACCACACTCCCAATATTCCCATAGATACATTAACAATGTAAACAAGTTCCGGTTACCGAGAATTCTAATGCCGAAAAGATGTTCTCGGCTTCTAACAGACGTTAGACGCAACGTAACACTAACGAGGAGAGAGGGCACACGCTTAAAGTCAGACGGATATTGTTACCCGAATTTATTTAACGATTCGCTGTTAAATTGTGGTAAGGCCACGCAGCATGCTTTGCAGGCTCGCCCGGGAAATACCACGACCCCACAATGACCTACGCGAAGTGGACATGTTACACTTTTGCGTTTCGTCTGGTGAGTGAGACAACCGGAGCCCACTTTATTATAAATTCACTAGCGATCCGCCCCGGCGCACGAGTGCAATGTATTATACATTAAACCTTCCTCTTGAATCACTCTATCTAGTAAAAAAAATCGTATCAATATCCGTTGGATAGTTTTAAAGATCTAAGCATACATAGGGACAGACGGACAGCGGGACGACTTTGTATTATACTATGTAGTGATAACGCATCAGCAAACTTGCGTTGCATATCCATGGGCGGAGCTCATCACCTACCATCAGGTGAAGCGCCAGTTCGCTTGCCTCTTTGTGACAAAAAAAATCGTTAAAAAGAAAACATTATCATTTTTTTGTAATGAGAAGTAATAAACATAGTTATACTATGAAATTAACTATGAAAGCCATTAAGTTTCGAGGTCGATTCGTAACATTTTGAGCTAGAACTAGCTGTTTCCCCGTCGTGGACACTAAAATAGATGTTATCGAAGTAGACGTAACTTGTGAAACTGGGTCGTAACAAAGTCACAATTAAGCTAATGCGCGCGCTCGGGTTTTTCGCGCGGCGTTGCGTGCAGCCGGCCGCGATGGTTATTAGGGCCGTCTGATGCTCACGACCTTTTTATTAGGGGTAGGGGGCGGCTTTATTTGGGGGCCAATTACCACATTTCACCCGAATTAAATACGTGCCTTCAATCTCTATCGGTCGAATGCTATATTTATTGGGCCTTTCAATCAAGTGAGAGTGTTAAAGTCTGAAGAGAAAGCATTAAAGCGGCTTATTGGCGGTAAATTTGATTGATTGTTTTCATTTCCATTGGCTTCTTAAAAGCTTGATACAACCATAAAGAAGCTTTGATTTGTTTACATCTATACATGCTTCTAAGAGCGGTTTACTGCTTTTTCCATGTTGTCTAGTAACAACTTGTTTTTCTCGCCTTTTTTGCACCTATTACTGAATATTTTTGATGAGTAACAACCCATTGGGATGTCTGTTAGTCAAATCTGTAAAGAACAGATCGATAATTTTTTTTAAATCAACATAAATTAAATTGTTATTTTCATCAATACTCAACGTAACAACTTTAATTTAAAAGTGTTTTAAGAATCGCTAACTTCGCGTTTCAACTTTCCTTTTATGATTGTTCTTGGGATTCATCTGTGTTTATTCCTTTAGAGGCAAAATTAGTAACTACATTGAGATATAATCATAGGTTTATACAATAAACATTAGGTTATTGTATAAGTCCAGCCCTGTAGTCCCGGGCTCATAGAATAGGGCTAAGGCCTGTCGTAAAAGGTGACTAAAAGGGGACACGGATGTGCAGCAGCACGAAGTGGTCTCGTGCTGCTGCAAGAGGGTGAGGGAATCGGAAAAGGTTTAACCTTCTCCGAGGCGTGCTCAGGCGTAGTACTGAGGGACACCGGTGCGTTCCATGGGAGATCCCGGAGTCCCTCCAAATGTACGGAAGGCGGCCACCGAGCGGGTTTTAGTGGGTAAGAACCCCACATAACCCTGTCATGTAAAGTGACAGGGTATCTTTCGAAGATTTCCCCCCCCGATACCAAAAAAAAAGGTTATTGTATAAGTCAATTCATTAATACTTACTCTTATGATTTGTAAGAAATGAAAGGCATTTTTATTTCATTCTACCATTATCATACCACCACACGGGAACTATTCAGCCCCGTTCCAGTGACTATGGACAAACAGCTTTATTTTACAAAAACACACGGATATCCCACAACTCTCCACGCACGTTAACGAAGCGTGGGGCCGTCGATAATGGGAGGATTTCGCGGAGTCTCGTCGGCCGTGCCGATTCGAGTTCGTCGCGCGCCAGACGGCCGGCAGACTAGAGAAAGGCGCGTGACTCAGTGGTGGGCACCGCGCCGTCGAGTGCATTGCACCGAGGTCGAGTCTCGGCACTGGGCCCGGTTGCGTGGCGATAGTGGGAGCGTGTCGACAACTCGCCACTGTACCTACAAGGTAACGTTCGGCCGCGAAACACGAATGTTGTCTATCGCTAGACGTTTCTGCCCACCCGCCGAAGGCCTACGGAATGTTGTTGTCGCTTTTTTTTATAGTGCTTTTGCTAAAACTTTCGCTTTTGAAATGAAACTGTCGACGGTGACGTCAGAAACGTTTTGTCGTTCGTACGTTTAAAATGTTCATGCGCATATCGACGAATTCAAACTATTATGAAATAACTTTTGTTATTTGATATCAAACTATTCTAACTAATAAGCTAGCGACTTAAAACTTAAAATACAACTATTAAGTGGATGACAATGTGACTAAATTCTGACAGTCCCATTCTGTTGTCTTTAAGTTTTTCTGTGTAAATAACTAAGAAGCGTACGTAAGTTAAAGCAATTTCCCAACGAAAACATTGACCGTACCGACAGCAAGGGGTCGGAGGAACGTGCAACATTGTTCGCAACGTGCAACACCCCAGCCTGTCGGTGATTTGCTTTCGCTATGTTTACAAGTTACTGACAGCCGGGCAATTTCTATCCGCTTCCTTCGCGCGGACAATTATCGCATTGCATTGGGCACATTTCCCGACTGCGTGTTTTACTTTTTAATTCTTCTCCTTTCCTAAATGCATTCGGAGTCCAGCGGAGCGTGACTGGCCGCGCGGTTCCGAGCGATTGCATACCTCTCATGGTCTCTCGCTCCCGTATTTATAGAGAGGCGTTCGTGCAAGACGACTGCGAATATTATAAGATGTCACGTTTTTTTTAATCGTAACCATTTTCAAAGTTTATCGCGTGCCGACCTATCGGATACTTTATTTGCGTAGTTTATTTTAATTAAAAAAAAACTGCGTGTGAACGACGCGGCCATACATAATATTAAAATTTGTAGGAGAAAATTACGATTCTTTTTTACAAATTTTAATGTTTCAATTCTTTATGTACAGACATTAGCACTATAAAATTTTAATATAAAATATACATAATATATTAGAAGTAAAGAGGAAGTAATTGAATAGCAGGGAACTGTGCCTCACTGAACTTTCTTTTGTTGCGCTAATTTTCAGACCAGGTGGACCACCTGCTCGCTTGCCACATTCACATAAAAAAAATATATGAACTGCCACAAAGCTTAGAGATGGAAAATTGGTAGCTTTTCGAAAAAAAGGCAGAAAATCACTTTTACCTGTTCACTTTTGTGGCGTGTTACTAAATAAAATGATAAAAATGATGGCATAAATCCAACAACATTATTATAGTAAATATTTCCCTTTTCTGCGGATATTCACCGCAATATCAAATATTTACTGTGGTCGGGTTAAATTCAGGTTGAGGTCAGGTAATGTGGTTGAGTGGACCTAAAACAAGTCAGTCCCATACTTTGCGGATATTCTCAAGGTCGTCTGAAGGTTGAATAAACTTAAATTTGTCGAAGCTTAATTACGTACAGCTTAAACATATAGAATTATCTTCAGTTCAGCGCATTATGTTAAATATATTTTTTATTTCAAATAGTTTTAATCTATGGTCATCACAACGAATGTATGTTCATAAGAACATGCGTTTGTGTTAAATCATAAAGTAGAACCTATTGCACAGAGTGCAATGGTAGTTTTCGATACGCCGAGACAAATCATTTTGCCATCCGGGCAAAGTCAATTTAAAATTGCCTTCACGTATTATTAATAACTAGTGTCCTTTTTTTCGCTTCAATACGAAGACGGAACAAAGCAAATAGTTATTGCGCGTGACACGTTCGACTTGTTTGATTACACGCTAAATTGGCTCCAACCCAAATAGTTCTACGAACCTATATCTTATATTTATATATCTAGGTATATATATAAAATTCTCGTGTCACAATGTTAGTTACCTTACTCCTCCGAAACGGCTTTACTGATTTTTACCAAATTTTATATGCATATTCAGTCTGAGAATCGGCTACTATCTATTTTCCATACCCCTAAGTGATAAGGGTTGTTCATCCTTAACGTTTTTTTTTTTTTTAATTTTTGGACTAAATGTTTTGTTTTTATTTTTTTATGATACAGCATACAAAAATACATACAACCCTAAATTGTCACCCCTCTACGCAGACGTAGTCGCGGGCAGCAGCTAGTAATGATGTACCATTCCGTACTGTAGATATATACAGCGTGTCGTTACCATCGCGACAATAAATGAACACACATATAGGGGATAACTTTTTAAAGTTGTATTAAACATTTAAATTCTTTAAACATCAATATTTACAGAGTTATTAAATTTTCCAAAACAAAGAATTTTAGAACACCCTTACCTACAAAAGCGTAACGTAAAGTTCATTTGTAAAGGTCACAAAGCATATGAATGGGTTGAATGAATTTAAAAGAGACAAAACATACTGTTAGAAGGAGAGGCTTGTAATGCGACGCTGTGGCGCGAGTTGTATAGGATGTTACAAATTTTGTTTCTTTTTTTACTTAATTAGTTTGTTTGAAAAATTTTTTTTTAATTATGGATTTTGTTTAACGTTAATATTTTTTTATGATTATTGACAAGTAGCGTTAGACGTGTGTTCATTTATTGTCGCGATGGTAACGACACGCTGTATACCAAACACATTTCGTAGTTTTAGTTGATCTTTGTTGAGGGTAAGAGTATCTTGCAATTAGGTTGAAGTTAAACGTTACGTTAAGTTAAACTTTAGGACAGTTAATTGTAACTTAAAGACGTCTTTATCCCACCTACGTTCCCAAGAACGTAGGTGGGATAAAGACCGAGACTGCTAGTACCAAGTACTAGCTTCTGTTTTATCTGCCGCGTGGACTTCGCTTTTGTGAGGAATTGGTTGAATAAACTGATGCGTCATATGCAGATTTTATTAATAAATCAATTTCGCTGAAAACGGTTGCGATTCAATTCTTTATTTGTGCCTGATTGATCTCACGGACCTTAAAGAGTCACGAACCATCATAGGCGGCGAGCCCTTCCTACAAAATCCATGCCATTGTTGGCAAGGTGATTAATTCAGGAAACCTTAGTTCGTCTTTGGGAGTTCCAGTGGCGTGGGACCAGCGTTCCTAATTCTCGAGGCTCGCCCATCACTTGCTCCGTAACAATGAGGAATGCAATCGAGATAAGGCGTTCGGGAGTTACAGGCGGCGGCGGCACGCCAACTTTCTCCCCCCACGGCAGCGGCTGCGGAGTGTCGAGGGCGGCGATAAATCATGCGGGCCGACCCGCTATTGCGGATTGTCGCGTGGGACGGGTAGGCACTCCGGTGCGAGTCATGAGCGAGAGCGGAAGGTGATAAGAGATCCGTACCGGGAATACAAAAAAAAAGGGATTTACCATATCCTTTTTTTTTTATAACTTTATGATGTGTTTACTTTTATCCGCAGCTTTGGCCGTTTTTATGTAAAAAGTTCACCTGATGTTAAGTGAATACCGCCGCCCATGGACATCTGCTACACCCGAGGGTTGCAGATGCGTTGACAACCTTTTGAAAATTGGGCTCCGGCCACCTCACTCACCAGACGAAACGTGAAAGCATTATACCTCCACTTTACGCCGGTCTTCTGTGAGGTCGTGGTACTTACCCGGACGAGCCTGCCCATTCGTGCAACAGCCGAGGCTGCTGCGTGGCCCTACCACCGTTAAACCGTCCTCGTACTTCTTTTTATGTTTCAATGTAACTGTCAATTTTTGCTTAATTAATAAATACCATTTCGATTCAGCGATACAGCGTTCACGCAATCTTGATTTTAAATTTCGTTCAAATCCGCGTAGCCGCTGCGGCGTGCAATGATAAATATTATTGTTATGTAATTTACTTTTTTAATGAAGACAGAGTGCCTGAAATATTTTACTACACCACGTAAAGTACCTCTTGTGAAGTACCTCTTGAATCATAATGATACGATGTAGCTTTGCTCAATGCTCGAAGTTTTTTATGTAGCTTTTGTATTCACTTGTACAGCCTTCATGTACGTTATTTTTATTTGGCTTAATGCTCGCTCTATGAGATGACCCTACACGCTCAATGTACACCAAACTGTGGTAAGAGTACAGCCAGTACTACACCACATTATTTGTACTAATACCAGAGTGAGTATTCAGGGATAATGTCACAATGAACATATCAAACGCGGCGATGTTAGATTTTATTTTTCTATATAAATTTATTCAAGACAGGAAGGTCAAGATTTTCAGATTTAAACAAACACAACACGTTGTGATTAAAACTATTTTACAGATTTTATGCGTGCATTTTACATTATCTATGGCCGTAACCTTTAACGTATCGATGTCGTACATGAATTATTGTTTTTTTTATTTTTTATTTGAGGTGTCAAACGAGCTGGTGGTTCACCTGATGTTAAGTGATAACCTCTGCCTATGTACGCTTACAATACCCGTAGGGTCGCAGATTCGTTGTCATCTTATAATAAAGCCTCACCTCACTCGTCAGGCGCAACGGAGAAATATGACACTTTCACTTCACGCAGTCTTCTGTGAAGTTGTGGTACTTACCCGGACGTACCTATCCGTTCGTGCAATAGCCGGAGCTGTTTTGTAGCCCAACCACAGTCATTAATAAACAAGAAACATCAACAACAAATAAACGAGAAACATGAAATTTTATACAAAAACCGTCGTCATTTCGTGTCAATGCTCTTACCCCTCCCTATTCTTTTTCTTTGTACAAACTTTCCCATCATAGTAGAATGTGCAAACCACGCGAAATAACAAGTTCGCCGGAAAATTGTTTATTTCATACAATGTGGGACCAGCCTCCGCCCTTCGGGAATTTAATACATACGTTCTAGTTTACAAGCTCTTTCACGAGACTTCACTATAAGGTTCTCGTGCTATGGCTTTGTATAAATATAATATTAAGTTTACATTCATAATTTTCTCATTTAAATGTATATAGAAACACAATAATTAAAATTGAGATAGATGGAGACATGGAAGAGATGGTAACTATTTAAAACGGACGAAAGAGACAGTAATAAAAAATATTGAACAGTCTGTCCCTATGTATGGACAGACAGACAGCGGCCGGGCTTAGATCTTTAAGACTACGCAACGGATTTTGGTGCGTTTTTTTTTACTAGATAGAGTGATTCAAGAGGAAGGTTTATATGTATAATACATTGCACCCGTGCGGAGCCGGGGTGGGCCGGTAGTAAAATATAATTATTTTCAAAACCACCAATCTGGTCGCCAATGGGGTCGCGTAGTGAACTATGCCCTAATATCCTTTGTACCGAGGAGGCCTTTGCCCAGCAGTCGGACATATATAGGCTGTTACTATTTTACTTTTACTCTCACGTCGCATTGCCAGTGGCTCAGCCGTTAATTAACTTGGGCATTATCTCTGCCATGTTTTTAGATTAGGAACAAATGCTTAATACCCGCCTCTTCGATATAATGTGGGTAAAAAATTATGCATAGGTTGTCAGTGCGAGTGAAAATGTCGATGTAAATTGCCAGTTGGTAGTTATGACTTCCAGATTTTGTTAATAAACCCAATTTTATGCATTTAAGGCAAATCTCCGTGTGTACGGAAACATTTAAGATGCGACGTAAATACACCCCACCCATATATTTTGCCTTAGCAATTGCGACCTCACTGGTGTTTCGGATTAGTAGAGTCGCCGTGATCAGTTGCTACCGGGTGAATCGCCTGTTAGTATTCCAGCATCTAATCCTTGTCTATGGCTATTCGTGTCAGTCTACACGCTGTGCATTCTTTACGTCATTGACGCAGGGGTCGCTTTGCTGCGAGTAGTATATATGCTATAGTAGTAGTATAGATGAAAGCAATAACAACAAAGTAATGTAAAGGGTGCGACTATATATATTGTATATATTTAACATCAATGCGTCGTCCTATCGAGTTCCTCAGTGCGAAGGTCTCTTCGTTTCGTTTGACGAGTGTGTACGCGTATCGTTTTAAGGTATACTACCGATTTATGGCGTGGATATCTATTTAATTGTAATTACAAGCTTTAATCGATAACTTGGACTTTTAGGATTGAAAAAAAATATTATTTTATATCACTTAACTTTAAAAGTACTGGCTATTGTTTTGTTGTTTATGGTTAAGGGACATACTTTCTAATGTTATTTGTATTTCTTTTTTTTTACTTTATAAAAAAGGAGAAATGGGTTCGAACCCCAGTTTGCTGCAATCGGGAGTTACGTAGGGAGGAAGCACAATGAGAAAGTTATAAATACAAGGCTTTAGTTTAAATAAACCGCGCAACAAATCCCCCGTACGTCTAATGGGTACACTACTCTTATTCCTTCGCTTGGATTCGCCAGCGGGGAATGTAGGAAAAGAGGTCTGACTCGGCCGAAGCATTAAGCTGATTATACGCCAGTCCCAAAGTTCACATTTCCCGACGAGTTTGAAGTTGTTGAATGTTGAAGGGGTTCCGATTCCTTCGATTGCTTGTGTACTTTAGTTGTTATAATCGAAATTATGACGTCATATACGTACCATCGGTTTTTTTTATTACATATAGGTATGACAAATGCCTTTTAATATGGAATAACCTCATCTTTCAGTGGTGGTTTTGTGGCAGCAATGTTTATTTTTTTAAATATGGAAAACTTGTTTTTCGTTCAATGGTTTCGTTTTGTTCGTGTAAATTAATTCATTTTTACTTAGATCATATATTTTCCAAGTGCCTTCCCTTCAGGCGTAATAGTTATATTCCTTTAATAGGACAGGATTTTTTTTCCTTTGCGACACCGTAATTGCTCGGAAAGCAATTGAAAATGCACCGATTTCGACTCGTTAAACTTAATTGTGTCGCGACTCCGAATGCTATGCGAGAGAAAGCTCTCTCGTCGAAAGTTCTCTGCACAATTCCCCTCCCAGTCTCATGGCTGCAAGATGTATACACAGCTTTCAATAAATATATGTCCCGAATACTATACCTCGATTGATGCAGCTAAGCTAACAGCTTTGATGTGGTGCGTTGATGGTACGATTCTCATCAGACGTTTGTTTGATAGAATATTAGTCCCGAAGTTTGTGTTTGTCCATTCGTGTGCTTTTAAAAAGTTTCTAAAACACGGAATAATGCTATGTTTCAGTGAAAAGATTATTATTTAAAGAATTAAATACGAGTTTTTTTGGTTGATGATTTCTCTTCTTCCGACGTTTCAAACATGTCTTAGTTTTGTGTATAATATTTGTGTTTAAAGTTTAAGTGACAACATACGCAAAGTGTTTCTCTAAAAATCTTCTTAAAGTTCTTTTAAATCTAATTGTATTACCTCAGTCAATTACAGTGGATACCATCCCTGTCGCAACTCGCAAGAAATAAAGGATACTAAAATTGGTCTATACAATACGTATTTCTGAAAGCTTTAAAACCACGTAATATTACATTTCTTAGAACGAAGCCGCCTGCTGACTAGAGGACTTTGTACAAATGACGTCTCGTTACGACATTCTCTTTTTGAACAGGACGGACTTTAAGAATGCCGCAAGGATCTAATGCAAATAGATGACAGTTCCTCCCCTAATAGATAATGCACTTATGGGCACATGTGCGGTACCAGCCAACCAGGAGGGTCGTATCAACGTTGTGGAATATAGCTCCCGTGATCTCAGTTTCGTTGAGGTTTTAATAGTGTACGGATTGAAAGCGAAATATATATAACATGACAATATGATTTATAAAAACATAAATAGGTTCGCAAAATGGTAGCTTTCACCTATTTACACGTCTTTATGAAATTTAAAAACTCGGGGTGTCATATTGAAAAAAAAAACAACTGTCTAAGCAGGGATGACCAAAACGTTGGGTTTTGGTCACGTCGAAGGTTTGAAGCTTACTTCACCCCCCTTAGGGAACCACTTAGGGTTCTGGACTCGGTGGAATTTTTCGATTAATCTAAGGTTTCAACATGACAGTCGTCACTGTTGCCGGTGTATATTGACAGTTTCATCATTTATCGGCTGACAAGATCGGCAAAATGATGATACCAATAGATCTAGGTATGTAGCCCATAATTGTAAAAAAAGTGTTTCATTATTATTGCTCTAAAGTCGTACCACAACCGATGCGCTGCGGTCGGAGCAAACTTATGATTAGGCCCGAGATGATACACCAACGTAATATTTTACTCCTCGGCCCTTAATTGCGCTGGCAGTTTGAAACAGTGCTATAAATAGAAATAGCTCCGCTGTCCACCGTTTAAAGCTTGCGGCGATACAGCGTTTCACGCGAGTTTTTCCGTCATTTGGCGCGATGACTGCAATCGTGCGCGTTTGTCGGCAATTTGGTCGCTACGCGGTCGGCGTAGGGTCGATAATCGCCCGCCCGGCTACCGCTTAATCTTAATAAGGTGCAATGATTCATCCTACCGGGCGCTAGTGATTCATTCTCGAGTCGTTATTAATGCGTTACGCGCCCCGGCTAGTGGATATCGGCGCGGTTGTCTTCGCGCCGTTTGCGTGTTTAACGCCCGGTTTCTGAAACACTGATCATCGTAGAAATTAACTAATCAGCTGTTACGTGATTTGTCAAATGCCGTTTGAGTTGCCCATAAGGATGGTTAAACTCTTTGAACTGATCATTCCTGACTCTCGATCATCATTTCTGATCGATTTAAAGAGTTTAACCATCCTTTTGGCAACGCAAATGACAGTTGACAAGCCATTTAATGGTTAATTTCTACGATGATCAGTGTTTCAGAAACAAGGCGTAAGTTGTCGCACGATGCGGCAGGTTTCTAGTTTAAACTGCGTAGATGGTAATTCGTAGTCGTATTTGAGCCGTGATAGCTCAGTGACCGGGCCCTCGATTTTGATTTGATATACCCGAGCCACCTGAGATCAAATCCCGCTGCCGGCACCGATGAAATTGTTAATTTTTTGTGCTGATTTCGCGTGTCGATTATGTCCTAATACCCTCTGTACAGAGGAGACTTTCAGCCAGCAGTGGGAAATATGTAGGCTGTTATTTTAGTTTACTTTAAACTGTAAATTGTAAGGGTTATTTATTCGCGTTCTAATTTTAAAGAAGGAACAATTTTTTAACTTGTGGAGTTAATATTATCCATAAGAGTCGTGTACTATGCGATAAAATAATACTTTCTCAACTTATCACATAGCTCGGTCGTTATCTTGAAAGGGATGAAATTCCACAAGTTAAAATACATATACCTTTCTCTTGAATCACTCATGTAGTAAAAAAAAACCGCATCAAGATCCGTTGTGTAGTTTTAAAGATCTAATCATACATAGGGACAGACAGACAGCGGGACTACTTTGTTTTATACTATGTAGTGATGAACTTTAAACAATTTAACAATTATAAGACCTGTAAAATTTATATTACATTTAATTTATGATAGAGAGACAGATTTTGACTTTGACCTCAACCGGTAAAAAATGTGCTTTGTGATAATTCGTAGTAATTAAAAAAAAATTGTGAGATTATAACACGTCTGCTAAAAGCGAGATCCGGCGCGGTGTAACGCCAAGACGCCGGCGCATACATAGTTGGAACGGGAAATGGAAGTCTCCCCTACAGATTTAGTTGATGGGCCGCTTGTGCGGTTGCCAACTTACGTGACGTTCCCGCTAATTGTTCCAAACGTATCTCGTTGCGAAACGCGGGGCGTGAATTACGCGCGCCTTCGAAATCGACGATTGTCTCAATGGACACAGAGCGTGGATTAATTTACACGAGTTCAATTGATTAACATCATAACGGTCTAAATATTACAAATAAGAAATGAAAAATTGCACGAATAATTCGTCTATTATTGCAAAATTGCACAAATTGTTCTACTTGAAACTAAACAAGGTAGATAAAAACGGCTAGGCTTTATCGCATGTCGACATCTCATACATCCGAAGTGTATGTTAGAATAGAAAGTGTAGTACAGGCTTATGTTATTGAATGCAACTATTGTCACTGTTTTATCGCTTGTATTTCTAATTTTGATCGTCGACGTTTCGAATACCTTAATTGTCACTGGACACAGACTGTAGGATCACCATCCCCCTTAGGTGGAGTCGGCACAACATGGGAATAATGTTGTGAGCGGTTTCGGCTGTGTTTTTTTACGACCGGCCGTCTGTCTGACGTCAACCCTCCTTGGGAAACAAACATCCAGACCGGGAACTTATCTGTACTTCACACGAATACTTGTTCCGCGTAAGAATTCATCCCACCGCCCCCGACGCGGAAGCCAACAGCTTTGCAACGGCGCCACCGGGTCATACAGACTGAGGGACGAAACGGTCGTACATGTGTCCGGATGCCCTTTAGCATCCCGCTGACCTAGAAAGCTTCGAGGCTCTCGCGTCTAAACGCCGGCGGCGCTCCGACTCTCTCACGACGTCGCCTCCCCGCCCTCCGGCGATCGATCTGTTTTACATTACGCCCCATTGTCTTAAGTGTCTGTCCTGTGTTTGCGCGGATTCTAAGCCCCGACGCTGACGAATACACACTTTGAGACCATTAAGAGTTCATATCGAGGTTTATTTGTTTATAATGTTTGTTTCTTGCGTCTTTTTAATGTTAATTATTACCATTTTTCTAGATATACTATTGTAAATCTACTTTTAGTTCCTCTTCGTCTTGATACACCAAGTTTTTGTGTAGAAATTTATAATAATTGATATAAGGCAGTAATTTTCTAACCTATTGTTTAAATATAACTTACTCACCTAAAGTCTTAAGTGCGACACTTAATTTTTAAGGTGTCCCTTAAAGTTTGGGATCGATGGTGAAAACGGACACCATACTTCTAAAAACTCACTTTAAAGATGTTCAATTGTATTGAAACACATTTACATACATTAAATATTTACTTGGAACTTAGTTTCCTTCGGCACATTTCATATTCACATGTATCGCGACGTAAAGTTACGCGTATTGTATGTTTTATTAAACAAGAAAACGTCACTAGGCGTTCGCGCGCAATGACGTTGCATCGCCCCAAAGCCAATTCATCAAAATCATCGATTGTGTTGCTGCACAGCATGCTACGCTAAACGACTTTAGGCTCTATCCCGTATGCAATACAGATCATAAACACTCGAGGAGTCTCCATTCAGATTGTGAACCAGAGTTGTCGTAACGGTTGAGTCACAACGAGCGGAGACGGGACTTGCTGCAAAGAAATATTGCATGTTGCTATTGTGTGGAATGACTGGTGGTTTTTACGTAGATTTTATCAAACAGGAGTTTGTTGGTTGTCATTCAATAGTACGAGTTATATATTCTGGCTTAGTTAGCATTTAGAGAAATCTCGATATCTTGTAATATTAGAATAAATTTGCAAGTTTGTATAAAATGTGATTACTAATTATATACATGAATAATGTATGTGGTCTGCTACCAGCTTTATTAATAGCCGTGTCTGAGATTATAATTTTTTTAATACAAATTTTTATTTTTGAATGGAATACGATAGTATTAAACATATTTTGGACAATTATGTCTTTGAATAATTATACAAACTATTTTAAGCACACCTAATGCGTACTATAAATTATTAACTGGTATACGCTTTTGAATTCGAGAGAATCCTGTGAGAGAATGTCAAAGTTAATAGGATCATTAGCGTCAGATTTTTACCACGTCTTTATATTGATGCTTCCCCATTGCGGACGTCAACGAATAATAATTCAATGCTAGTGGCTAGCATGCGTTATTTCTTTATACAATACACTCAAACGTCGTCTACGGGTACAACAGTTATATCATGCATTGCACGTACAAAGTTTTATTGCTAATAAGTTCTTCAACGCACTTATCATTGCGCTTCTGGAAATTATTGATTTAATTACATTCATGTTTAATCAATGCTGAAATAAAATGTAATAACTTAAGTAAATTTATTTATTCACCCATTATTCTATTTATTTTCATTATTCAAATATTTATATGGCTCGCATCCCAAGAAGTGTAGCAGCACCATTTATTTGAGACAAAATTAATCCGCTTTACAATAGTAATATGCCTTCGTAATTTAATTGCAATTCTTTTACACATTAATGTCCCTCCCGTTCATGTACAACAGCACGGCCTTGCCCTCGCGGGGGGCAAGGATAGGCTGTCGGACTTGAACCGAGTAAATCCACTAGGATGTCCCGCCTAGGGCAGGGCTGGGCACTTCCGCGACCTTGTCAGCGCTGGCTGCCTCAGAATCCCACCCGAGTCCGTTGACCAGAGGCCATGGAAGTCAGGAGAGCCAGTGCTAATAAACAGCAAGCCTCCAGATCTCAGTGGTGATTCAGTGTATGGCTCCGCCGCACACCTTGCTTCGGCCGCAAAAGATGGGGAGGACGGTGCATCGCAATACCAGCACTCCTCCCTCCCCCGGCCCCACCAATACCAGCACTCCTCCTTCTCCCCTGCCCCACCAATACCAACACTCCTCCCTCTCCCCTGCCCCACCAATACCAGCACTCCTCCCTCCCCCCTGCCCCACCAATACTGCATAGGCGCAGCCCCGCTGAATCGTGGAGGATATTATTGCTCTTAGCTTCGGCGTGGCGAACCAAGCCACAACTACAAAGACCCTCTACCACGACAACGTGGGGACAAAGGGGAATGTCTTATTGAAATTAGAGTCTATCGTATTAAAACGTACCCCTCTCGGGCTTGTTGTGATTTAGCACAATTTAAATAATCGATGCTTATAATTGACAGCTAATGATCTTAGCATCACTTGCTCCCGGTGTGTCCTCAGCTCAGCTGCCGGCGGTGATAGTGACAAATGAGGGAGCGGGGCGCGTCCTGTCCCCCCGGGCGGGATACGTGACTCGCGGCGCGTCACCCCCACGGCTGACTTTTTTTTGTGCCCCGTTAAACTATTCCATTGAGCGGGGACACAGTGACCGTGGTAGGCCTTCCGTCTCGCCCCCTCCCCCCTCTACCCCCCAGCCGCCTTCTTCCTAAATGCGGTGTCTTTAGCCGGCTCGAGTCATCGTCAGTATGACACACTGGGCTACACGTGGATGCGTTGCCTTGTGAAATTGTAAAAAAATGTATGGGTATCCCAATTAAATTACTGTTTGATGTCTGTACCGCAGTCTAAGAACCGACCGAAGCTGCCCGATATATTGTCGATATTTTCTTTCATAATTATTATGTTTGTTTGATTTTCGTTGAAAATCAATTAACTGATAGGGATTCCGGAGTTAGTTTTACGATCATTTTCTTTGTAACGTGTTACTGTTGTGGCAATTTATCATCATCACGATATTCTTATTTTTAACTTATAAGTTACAGCACTTCCTGAAAGTTAAAACACACTAGAGCTTTGCAAAAACACGATTAATTTACCAAAGAGGCAATTAGAAAAAAACACGAATAAACTTGTAATAAAACGCACTCGGTGGGTACCGCGGCTCTCGTAATTGACAAATGGAAAAAAATTAAAGCGGCTGTCAGACGGCGATGTGTGGGTTCTGATAATTTCATCGCGAGGCCCGAACCGCGGACCGTTGCCTCAAAGCGGATTACCAACTCTCGTGTAACGAGAACCGATCAAGATCATACTTTTCGTTCGAGTTCACACTTTAGTTCGAGACCACGTTAGGGCATCGCATACGTTTTCCTTTAGTATCTCCTGCTCTTATTCCGTATGGGTGAATTGGGCGAATCATGGCGTTAATTTTAGTTTTTCTACGACCGGCTGGCAACCTGACGTGACGCGATAATTATCTGTGAGTGACACCAAACACTTGTCCCGTGTGGGAATCGAACTTAGAACCCGATGCCGATAGCCTTTCAACTGCGCCACAGGTTTGTCTAGTGAAGATTATTAATGAAGCATGTAGATCGAGGACTTTACAGAGTAGACTCGTGTATGAACGCATAATGTGACATTAAAACTTTAAAAAAAAAAGATTAACCAGATTGCATTATGAAATTTACTTGTTTTTTTATTGTGCTGTATAATAACTGCTTAATTTAATCTGCTACTGAATTTATAGTTCTTCATTTTGAAGTCTGCTTAAAAATATAGTTATTGTTTGTTCTTTTTACTGTATAAAAAAAGAGATTTTTTGATCAGCAATTTTGTGGATGCCCTTAGCTTATGATGGACCTGCATGCAACCGCATCGTTTTACTACCCGCGTGATCAAAATGTTTTGAGTTCTAAACCCTACACCGACGAACTTTATTCGCTTGTTATGCATGGTTAGTTGGGACTATTTACAATTAGGCTGCTTACAATGTCTATCTTATGATTGCTAGTTTAAAGCGGCTTTAGTCATACACCTACAGTTATCAAGATCCATTTTATATGGACCTTAAGGGTGTTATGTTTTGAGAAAATAAATAAATTAAACGTCAGATAAGCAAGTGAGTTTCTGTTTGTGTTTAATGATATGTACCGTATTTTTTTTTTGTTATGATTATGTTTATGCTTGATGAAATGGTTAACTCAAACATCTGACCGGAAGTGTTTTTATTTTTGTTCAATTCTTTTGAAAATCTTTGATAGAATTCAAGTATGTTCCTTCATTTTAAGCTATTCGGATTAGGTGATCCGTTAAAGTTAGGGATCGACGGTGAAAACTTAATACGATATAATTATTATCCTATTAAGTTCCTCATATTCGTTCTCCCCGAATGTTTGAGAATGGATATCAAAGGGACGGAGAAAGTTTATCTATTTTTAACCGACTTCAAAAAAGGAGGGGGTTTCTCAATTCGACCGTGTATATAATTTTTTTTGTGTGTTCGGCGATAACTTCGTCATTTATGAACCGATTTTGATGATTCTGTTTTTGTTGGAAAGGAGATAACCCAAGGGTGGTACCATGATAAGGAAACCCCGATCAGATGATGGCATCCCAGAGAAATCAAGAGCAATCCTCAAATGTTATAGGCGGTGAAAATGTTTTTTTAGTTTCCTGTTTGAAGTCGGTTTTTTTTTTGTTTATAATTATAGCTACATTTTTACTGATTTGTACAACAACGTAATATTTGCCTATGCGTTTTCTTTTACGTTTTAGGTTACCAAATACGTTTTGTGCGTTTGTTGGACTTGAAGGAATGACGTCAGTGTTTCACACTTGCGCAAACATTTTACGTGTTTTATTTACTGAAACCCTAACGTATTGTCTCCGGTCTACGTGACTTGTGTCTACTTCTGCACAGACTGAAGTCACGGGCGGAAGCGTGAGCGGTGTACACGTGTATCCGTTACTTTATTGATTCAATAAGCGAGATATTGTAATAGAAGTATACATATATCTACGCAATTTTTTACACTTATTGATTATATATATATATATATATATAAAACCTTTAAATCGACCTGGTTTTTCGCCTGGATTAAGTGCTCAAAATTGGAAGTTGAGAACATTATAATTCATGATAACTTTTAAAACATTATTAAAATAAAAACTGGTCTTTCAGTATTTTTGTAACCAGGATGGACGCGAAAATTAAGAGCGGACCGTCAAACAGCACAGTTCTATTCAATCATCGTGTTTTATTGTTTGTTATAAAATTCATCCCGTTCGAATACTTTTAACTATATATATGGGGCCCTACATTACTAATACGGGGCAATAGCGGGATACAATCACACACGCCTCGGTTTTATTCCTGTACCGATCGACATAATATGTATGTTACGTTGATTTAGGAATTTCCTCTTAGCAGTTTCTAAAAGGATATGCAATACAAGGCTAGCAATTTAATCGTGTTGCTTTGAGTAATACCGATGGCATTCGATTTCTATCCCGTTTTAGTACTTTCTGTTGATCAAGTTTTTTTTTAGTAACGTACTTTTTATACTGCTTTTTTTCTGTCTTTATTTATTATTATAATGCTTTCTGTTTTTATTATTATAATGCTCGTATTTCACATTTAGTTTTGTAAAAGTTTTTTGATTTTTGTCTCTACTGCCTGTTGTAAAGTAGTTTTTACCTATAATTAAGGTACCACTCATCACTTTTTTGTAAACCTTGTATAATTATTGTCACAGTGTGTACTTTGTTGGTGATAAATAAATAAATAAATAAATCAATCAATATAAATAACATGCCCTTACTTTAGTATAACGTTATCCTGTGTTGTAAGGACGTTTGGCAAACACAAATTTCACGTGGATAAATACCCACATGCAAAACAACTATCTGGGGGTCACACAAATAGTTTTCCCGATTGGGAATCGAACCTACGACCCCCGACGCCGAAGCCAACACTTTGGCAACTGAACCACGGAGTCCACAAATCGTTTTATAAATGAGCTTATTACCTTGATTTGGCTCGAGTCCAGGTTTGTGGTTGCGTATACGCTGTCGGTCTCTGAGGAACATAACGTCTACTGCTTCAATAGCGGCGGGCCAAAACTTTTAATTGTAACTGTTATCAAAGCCGACATGTTTGTGTTGAGACGTCGTGGGTAAGCTTTATCCGTACTGGAACGTAATCATTAAAAACATAACCAGCGCGGTTTGGCGTATCAATGGTCTTGTTTGATATTTCCTAGACTCTTCTAGGACCCAAGTGCAAGTGGAAATTGATAGTCTGCGATAGAACTTTGAAGCAGTAGTTTCTGCCGTTGAATAATCGATCGAACCGCATCGCGGTGGAACGTCATAAAGCAAAAGTATTGGTATATTAGACAACTTGTTTGGCGTAGTGAGTAGTGAACCTGCCTCTTGCCAAGAGGGTGTGGGTTCGATCCCCACTAATGGAGCTATTTTGTGTAACGAACATATAGTTTCTCCAGTCTGGATGTTTATACAGCGTGTCGTTACCATCGCGACAATTAACTTCTAACGCTACTTACCAATAATCATAAAAAAATATTAACGTTAAAAAAATCCATAATTAAAAAAAAAAATTTCAAACAAACAAGTAAAAAAGAAACAAAATTTGTAACATCCTATACAACTACAACTGACTGATTCATACATTCAGAGACTTTTTCATTCGTTGCCACGGCGCCGCATTACAAGCCTCTCCTTCTAACAGTATGTTTTTTGTCTCTTTTAAATTAATTCAACCCATTCATATGCTTTTGACCTTTACAAATGAACTTTACGTTACAGTTTTATACGTAAGGCTGTTCTAAAATTCTTTGTTTTGGAAAATTTAATAACTGTAAATATTGATGTTTAAAGAATGTAAATTTTTTAAACAATTTTAAAAAGTTATCCTCTATATGTGTGTTCATTTATTGTTGGGTTGGTAACGACTCGCTGTGTATGTTTAGTATGTATTTATTAGCAAAACCTATGTTTACCACTTATCTAACACCCATAGTACAAGCGTTGCTAGTTTGGGACTAGTGTACTTTGTGTAAAAATGCTTCCTAAAATATTTGCACCATATACATCGTACATAACCGCTGAAATACCCGAACGCACTCTATAAATCGCCGCTAGTTATAGTGTCGTCAGCCGAGAGAGGCGTGGGTCCAGACGGTGTCCCGTTCGCCCCCACAGCAGATCCCACTGGGACACAGTTTCCATGGTGACAACTCGTCTTTAGACAACGCTTGGCATATCGCCCCAATACGTCAGCAACTGGAAACCCGTTTGTTGGACAACCGCCGATGATAGAAGCCGACTAAACTGTAGCCGAAACCTGTCCGTATACACGGCGTTACGTGCTACTAACGACGGTTAATTAGAATTTTTTTCAAGTCTACGTATGTAATTAAGACTATTCCTCGGATAGTATTGTTAGTCAAGACACGGCCGTGGCTATTTTTTAAAGTTATTGAAGATCGCCGTGATAGCTCATATTGTCCGGGCGCTCGCTTTTAATTCCTTGTATTCCGAGCAACCCGAGTTCGATCCCCAGTGCCGGCACCAATGTAATTGTTAATTTTAAATTCTGAATTATCACCTACTCAGCGGTGAAGGAAATCATCGTGAGGAAACCTGCATATTTTCTAAATAATAACAAGAAAAAATATTTCGAAGATATGTGAAGTCCGCCAATCCGCAGTTGGGCCGCGTGGTGGACTATGCCTTAATACCCGTACAGAGGAAGCTTTTGTCCAGCTGTGGGACATTTATAGGCTGTTACTTTTTTTAAGGTTGCCTAATTCTCATACTACGCCATACCAGCGGTACTCTGCTCATTCCCAAAAGAAAAATTCCACAGAACCTTGTCGAGAGTCTACTATGCGCCGGCCCTTATTCCTATGCCGTCCTAATTCAAACGACCAAACTGTCTGCTCCGCTCGTCGAACAGGTAGAGTCGCCGTTACAAAACCGCAGCGGAGTCGTTCACCTCCGTCGGCTGACCTTTGATCGGAACCGCCTTACGTAAGCGGCGGTAATCGAAACAGAACTATTTGCAGTTTACGAACGTTGCGCAATCGGGCGATAGTGAAATTGGCCGGGGCCCGCTCACACCGTCGAAGCGATGGTATACGGTGCGATGTTACACATCACTTCCTCCCTTAGCCCGTATTCTTGTTTCTATCTGTTTTATATTATCAGTTTCAATCTAAAGAGAACAGGCAGGCTTAAGGGATGAATGTTGCCCTTGAATATCCGCACCACTTTTGATATGGCGGAAACATCTTCACACTCATCGGAAGAGTATGTACATTTCTACTTTAGGTCTATGTTTATGTACGTGGTATTTCACCAGTAATTTCAGCATACTTTCCTCCGAGCCCATTGCTCATCTTGGACATGATCGATAATCACGTTTTAACCTAAAAAATGCAAGATGCTATCTATAGCGTTCATTATGCTGTTGATCCTAACTACGTCGGTTAAAATGTGATAGCGTATTAGCTTTTGATATTTATCATCCTATTCGTTACGAGTTCATCTCATTGCTATAGATATAGCTTCGCCTCCATCGAGTTGAAAGTCTTTAAATTTAAAGTCACTGATACACAAAGTTTTGGACCGCGATTGTTACAAGTCTTTATGCCTTCAACAATACGTTGAAAACTTTGCTTTAGATCTTCCGGTACGTTACTTAAGTCAGATCAGAAAGGATGAAGAAGTAAAACACGTTCACGGCTTAAGTTTTTAGACAATTTTGTTTGACAATGTGCCTTTCAAAATATCTTAGAAATCAGAATAAGCGTCAGCGTTTCAGACATCATACCGGTAACAAATATTACTCATTTGTACTCATTGTCCAACTGCAGGTTACCTGTGACATTTTGGACCATAATTAATATAGAAATGTGTATCTTTGTTTAGATGTGTCAATTATTTTTCAGCGTCGATTTATTTCGTCGCCTACCGTAAAATGGCAACAAGGTAACATATTGCACTATTCTCACTTCATTTTTTGTCTCAATTGTTCACCAACTTTACACTCTTATGGCCGCCTATAGACATTTGCAACACTCTTAGGGTAGCAGAAGCAATGGCACCTTTTATGCCCGGTTCATATATTCAATAAAAGGCCGTAGAACGAACTTGTAAAGGAACGCTAGTAACTCACTTTCCGTTGGTAATGCAACGGCTCGTAAGGAAAACGCCTCGTTTTGTTAATGTAAACTGGGCGTACACGCCTTTTATCTACAAGTCGTTATGAAAGTTACGAAGCTATGTAACTAACGGCCGTTCGACAGAGGGAGGAACCGGGCATTAATGAAGTGTCCTTCGGTAACCTCACTCACCAGACAAACATAACATTTCCACCTCAAGCTGGTCCTATATGAGGTCTTGGTACTTCCCGGGCATGGACCTGCCTTTTCATGCAATAGCAAAGACTGCAGCGCGACTCTACCACAGTTGAACAGCGACTCTGTAAGCAAGTGGTCGTAACATACATTTAAAATTTTAGTCAACACATACGTTCTGGAATATCTCGGGACCAGAAAACTTCTTAATCTCTGACCGTCATATCTCTGAGGACAGTTTCAAGTAGAAAACTTCATACCGAAACGAACATTTCGTTATAAATAGCCTCCATCCACTACAATAAAACGTTGTTAATGTTCCATATTTTATTCCTACAGACCAGAATATCACACACATTTCTCGCATAAAAAAGTCATTACGAGATTATGTCCAGACGCCCCTTAAGGAGCTCAACTATTTACAAATAATAGCCCGAGCGGCGTTAACGACGCTGTACGTGTTGGCTGCCGTAATGACACTTACCGTAGAAGGAATAAGGTCGACTCTGTAAACGTGCCACTGAATTCCGTAGAGCGACTGTAAAGATGGAATTTATGACTAAAATGGTGATTATGGAGAAGTATCGTGTGACCGGAAGGCTTTGTTCAATGACACGGGATTGCTCACACTACCCAAAAGAGCTACGTGACATAGCTTTGAATAGCCCTTACTATAGGATAACATTATCCGCTAACATCCGGATCGGATATAATTATCTGTGGGCCAAATAGTTGCCCCGTGTTGGAATCGAACCCACGACTTCCAGCGCCGAAGCCAATCCCTTGGCAACTGCGCCACGGGGTCGTCAAACTTTGACCGGTCTCTCTATCCGTCCGAATTCTACTTTGTTGTTTTCACAGCAAAAGAGACTGATTACTCCCACTCCTTTCCATTATCTAACAACTGGAATATCGGCACAACTCCTACTATTTGTTCACATTCAACGCCATCGACCTAGGTTCTTCGTTCCGTTGTCCATTCGTACAGAAAAGCGATAGAACCGCTCGCCGGTGTCTAACTTTCCGTTCGAATACGATGCGAGCGATTTCAAGGCAGGAAGGAACGGACATTTACTGAGCTAGTGTGTTTATCTTCTGCTACCACTCGCCATCAGGTGATATAGCAAGTAAGCACTGGACACTGATCATACATCTGATATGATAGCTCTTGACTGTGTTATCCATTCATACAGGCGGCTTTAACGTTAGCCAGGTAAAAATAATCAATCCGCTAATTCGCAAATTCTAATTGCTTCTTTACCGCCGAGATTTTCAATACGTCCTGGCTTTGCCAAGGTGCTGACGGCCTTCCAATTGGGGCCGTTCATAGCATGTTGGCGCGGGGCCTTTGTGGGCTAAGGCGGGCAGCGCGACGTCGTTACGGCCGCCCGAAATCCTGGTGTCCATGTAATGCGATACGGCGCAAGTGCTCACCGCGGTCGACCGACCAGGTCGGATGGCCAGCGGCCGTTGCATCACTGTCCTCTGTCTCGTAAACGCCTTGCGTCGGAACGGGCTGTTTCGTTCTTATTGTTTTTACATGAAAGATCGGCAAGGGCGCAAGCGAGTTACAGTATTTTGACGTGGGAAAATCCTATATGAACCCTCTGCCACCGTTAGGATAGACCGACTGAAAGAACTAGGTTGCACCTGTGGGACACGGGAACACGAAGACGCAATCTTCAGCGACAATGACCTTTCTTAGATGCAACACGAAAACGTACTTGATGAAGCCGTGGTACTTCCCCGGACGTGCCTGCCCTTTTCTGCAACAGCATAAGATGCGGTGATAGGCCCACGCCCAATAAAGAATACAGTAAAAATCGCGTCCAACCTGGCTAGCGCTAACTACCACTTTCTCGTGCTAAAATACTTTCCGCTCGATAGCTTCTGCCATCCCGAACAAACACCAGCAACAATATCTTGTTGGATCACAGAGGTTTTCATTCCATGTAAAACCGAACTCACAGTTCTTATTTTAGCATTATGTTGGTTAGCGGTGAATGCTTTACTTAAACGGTTTACACGTTTAACCCGTGAATAGCCAAGCTTTGGGAAAATCTACTCGTCCTTGAGAACAATTGGATGATAAGGCATAAAACGGTCGACGGCTTGTTTAGTTTTAAATATTCTTTTGGGGTCTTTTGATCTGTGGAACTTAGTCCCTGGGACTGAAATCGATAATAACAGATCAAGGTAGAGATCGTATCGAATCGACGTTATCATTGTATGTACGTTACGTTACGTTGTGGTATGTTTATTAAATCTTAAGGAACATGCATTATTTTGGTCTAAATATGTTTATGACAATAAACCCAGAAAGTCACAGTTGCCTTTAAGATACATTTTTTTTAATTATATTTTATTGCAACTTGGAAATTAGGAAAAATAGTAGTATAGTAAAAATATACGAGAAAGAGTAGCTTAATACGGAATGATTAAGCTGTTAATACTTAACTTTGTAGATATGCAAATTGGTTTACAACTTACATTAAATAAAACTTATTAAATTGAACTAACTACGCCATTGTTTCGTCTACAAAAAGTAAACAGGTCGTTCATGGGGCAGTGTGCGCATGTATAATAAAATCTCACAGTCGATATTAAGTCTGCCACTTGATGAATTTAAACGAAAAGTTAAAAGTAAACTTATGGCTAAAGCATATTATACTATTGCTGAATATCTTGACGACGCCAATGTGTGGGGTTAATACTGTTGATAGTAACGTAGGCTAAAACAACTATTATACCTGTAACATTATATTATAAACTGAACTTTTAAAAAAAGAGCAACTGTTGAGTTTCTTGCCGGTTTCTTCTCAACAGAAACTGCTTTCCGAACCGGTGGTAACTTACGAAAATATTAATTTCCTTGTAAAACTTCGACGTTTCATAAGAACTTATAATTTTATTATTATTATTGGGGGGATATTCATTTGTTTTCTCGTCTGGTTGGGTTTATAAATAATAAATAAAAATAAAGATATAGATATATATTGCATATATAAAATAAATATTATAGATAAAAATAAACATATATATATATATATATATATATATATATATATATATATATATATATATATATATATATATGTAAATAAATATTTTATATAATACATATATAAATAGGACCCAACCAGACGGAAGCCCTCGGCAGGGGAGACCAAACGGCCGAGGGTTAGGGCGAAAGGGAGAGAAACCGGCGGACGATGCGGGCGGTATCGAGGAGCACCGCCTTCTGCATTTGAGCCTGGAGCGATCCGTCCCGGAGTCCCAGTCGCCTCAGATGTTTAGAGAGGCTGACTGGGATCAACCCATTCGCAGACACGACTATCGGGATAATTTCGGTCGGCACACCACCCCACATGTCGGTCACCTCGTGAGCCAGGTCCAGATACTTCGTCTTCTTATCTGTTTCGGCTTTCACGAGGTTCTCGTCATATGGAATGGTAATATCGACCAAAAATACCCGCGACTGTGCCCGGTCCATCAACACGATATCAGGTTTGTTCGCGACAATTTTATTATTAATAATTTCTCGATTACCGCGCCCTGCATGGTGCGAATTAAATAGCGTGTGCACCAACGAATATACTGTCTCAGTACGGTATGTCAACATAGCTGTCAACTGTCCCTCTAGACCTGTCCTGTCACATAAAAACACTACTCCACCCCGTTATCAATTGCATGTATTAAATAAGCTTATCTGTAACCATGATCTCTGTTTCAGGTAAGTCACGGAAGCGGGGTCACTGCACTATTCGGTCGGTGTTAGACTACGCTACCACCTATCGGTAAGAGGTAAAGCAAGCGAATAGTGCCGCCCCTAGAATCGGTAATATAAGTCGATTATCGATATATTATTTATATTATAAGTATCACTAAGCAATTGGTAGGTTTAATGTTTTTAGATAGGTTAATAACTGAAAGAACCACGTTGCACATGTGTGACACAGGAACACGAAGACGCAATCTTCAGCGACAATGACCTTTCTTAGATGCAACACGAAAACGTACTTTATGAGGCCGTGGTACTTCCCAGACGTGTCTGCCCTTTTCTGCAACAGCATAAAATCGTCTTTTCGGTGATAGGTCCACGCCCAATAAAGAATACAGTAAAAATCGCGTCCAACCTGGCTAGCGCTAACTAATGAAAATGGCTTATTAACAAATCAGAGAAACTCTTACACAATAATGTATTTTCGTTTAGCAAATAATTTTAGACCCCGCATGCTCTGCAAGTCCTGTTTTAGTGTCATTTCTATTTACCCGTTGAAAATATTATATTAAAACAACTTAGTTTTAAAACTTAATACTTATTGTTATTTAGAAATCTTTATAATGCTTCAGAATTATCCTTACAGAATTATCCCTTTATCTAATGTATAAAATTTTAGTGTCACTGTTTTAGTGTTTATACTCCTCCGAAACGGCTTGAACGATTTTGATGAAATTTTATATGTATTTTTAGTGGTATGAGAAAAGGTTTATAACTAATTTTTAATACCCCTAAGTGATAATAAGGATAGTCCAGCCCAAAAATTTTCTTCTACCCTAAAAATAATTTATATAAGAATACAACGTTTGCCGTCGGTCAGCTAGTTTAATTATATAATCTAAAATTAGGTTTCGAAGTTTTTCTATGGCAACGTCATAAAGATTTATTTATGAAAAAAGGATGTCATTCACCGGAAAGCTAAATAAAACTAAATAATAATTATTTATATCGATACGCGAACGACACACTAGCGTTTGTACGGGCCGCACCTTTCTCTAATAAGAAAGTCTAGAGCTGCACAAACGTGAAGTATTTATTATAGCACTTACAGCGACGGGTTACCATTACACTCGGAGAACCTCATACCGAATATTTTCCAGAATGAAATTTATCTCTTATTTAAATTAATGGGAATTTAATTTCGTTGATAAACGTAACGCGACTGTTGTTTCCAATTCTTGACATGAATTATATAAATTAAAAAATTTTTATCTGTTTCGTATTCAACAAACATTTTATAAAATTGACTTAAATATGGTTATTGCCACGGTAGCCCTGAATAGTAAACCTATTATCTACTTGAATATAAATACGCACATTTGTCGCCTCAATGTTTAACCAATTTCAATATGTATTTGTAAATCAATACCATCGCTCTTAAAATGAACCTTATTAACGACAGATACCGTTCAAAATCGTATAACTTATCCACGTGGAATGTCAATCTCTAACGAATTAATCACACGGCGTTAGTGCGTTACCTCACGCCGAATGAGCACCGAGCTAATTACTCGATAAATTAAGGTAATTGAAGTGATAATTGCGCCTTATCTTTGGGTAACGTGGCGTTCGTTATCTCGGGAACGACACGCGTACTGAGGACTCATCCAAAGGTAGCGTACGTGGTACTTTCCACAAATATATTCGTCTGTACCACGTACCAAGTACAAGTACCACGGCCTCACAGAAGACCGGCGTGAAGTGGAAGTAATAAACTTTCGCGTTTCATATGGCTAGTGAGGTGACCGGGGCCCACTTTTTTAAAGGCTGTCAACTCATCTGCAAGCCATCGGGTGTTGTTAATGTCATCAGGTGAACCGCCTGCTCGTTTAACATTAAAAAAAAACTTTTGTTATAGAAAAAAATTTACCCGTTACGCCGACAAGTATACTCCTGCCGGGATAGATTGCGGTACCCAGTACCGCAGATCTTTTTGAGAAACATAAATGGCAGTAACGATGTGGCCGTGTCCCAGTTATGAATGTGAGGTAGAGATCTTCGCTTGTGAGTTGAGAAATTCGGAATACTGGATAGTTATTGCAGCACACCACTAGTATTAGAACACGTAACAAAATTGCGACTCGATGGCCAAAGCATGCACATTATTACCGGCTGTATCGATGTATTGCAAGGACGTGTTGATATTCTTTTATCTCGTTCAAATTGAATTGAACGGTTTGAAAAAAAAAAGAAACATTGTAACATAGGTATATGTCAAGTAACATATGCGATTTAGTAAATGCTCTAGAACTCTATTTTAACGACTAGTGTTAGTTTCAAATAAGCTTTGTATACTATATTTCTTACAGGCGTACGCTTAATATATAGCATATGGATTAAATATATAAATATTATAATGATGATATATATTTAATCCGAAAAATTAATCACACTATGTAGTTATTATCTAGCATTGCTTTAAATGCAGTAAAAACAAAGTAGATAAAATAAGTTGAGATTTTCGTCGATAAGCGTTTAGCTCAGTATCTAGTTTCCCGGGGCACGTTCATTCAAATCCTCATAGTGGCGAAAATTCGGCTTTTCTTATAACTTTCTCCAATTTTTATATTTAATTTTAAGTGTAGATTACTATAAAATTAAAATCATTAGATATTTACTCTGTTTGTGTATACACATATTACTTATAAATATTCAGAAAGTCGATGTGATTCAATAAGCTAAGTTCAAAGAAACT